TGCTGGATTGTCAAACTCTGTTTCAGCCCTTTTCGTGGGAAATTCTGTACGTTAGCTGCTTACCAGCCAGCTCTTCAACCGTCTTCGGGGGCTTTGTCCTTGTTTTTCAGCAGCTGAATGTAACTTTTTGTGGTTATGACCTGGAAAAGGCATCTAAATAGTGCAAGTCGACAAATTAGTTTATATGAGTATGTTTCAGTCTCCAGTGTTTAGTCTATACTGCTGCTGTCATAAGTTATTGCGAGGAGGCAGTGGCTTGTACAATTTTGAAGCTAATGTGGTTCAAACCATGTTTGAATATTTGTTGATATCTAATTTACACTATTTGTTAAGTATATAGGGTTAAATATTGCTAAATATAGAGATACATGCTGAAAAGTTACCAAAACCCATCTCCCATGACAGCTGAACATCCTGCCAATATAAACAACTTACAAAGAAAAAGAAAAGTTTTTTTTTTCTTTTTGTGTGTGTCCATTTAGTGTTCATGGACCAAATGCACTCAAAAGAAAGAAAAACCTTTCTCTTTCTGGTTTTCCAAAAAAATGTGATGCAAATCAGTCTGACAGAGGACAGTGAGCCATTATAACTGCCTCCTTGGGGTATTTTTGTGTATTAAATGAAAGAGTTTTTACGTTTTTTTTGGGTGGAAGGAGGCATGTTTATTTCTGTTGTTTGTCCTTGGGGGCATGTCGGAATATTTGAAAAAGAGTGAGAGTGTTTTTTAAATTTTTATATTACAGAAGAGAATGATGTCAGGACCGCCTGAAGTTCTTTTCAAACTCTACTGTCTCACATCCCCTTTTCCCTCAGCGTACCGATCATAAAATAGACTGCTGGTGGGAAAATCTCCTTCCTTTGCCCTTAAGGTCTCCAGCTTGTTTGTGCAAGTCAGCCTTTGTGAAGGCCACTGGTCCCAGTATGCTGACTTAAGCTTCTATGCTGCATGTCATTCATCTTGCTTCAATGGTTTGGATGGTGCTTACATATTTTGTAAGGTGTAATTTAACTTCTTTCAAGAGAAAGAGCGGTTGTCTGTTTTCAGCTTGCTTCCATTTTGTTCTCATACTTGAACCATTTCCATACAAAAAAAAAACAAGTATTTCAAACACAGAGGTTGTTTGTGTTGGCAAGCTCATTTGGAACACGTAGTATCTTTACCAGGAGTTGTGAAAATGTAATAGAAGACTTCATGTTTGTCAAACATTTCAGTCAGCAGTACGAAATTGGTTTCACAATGACTGAGTGGGCTTTTCTTGTACGTGAAACAATCAGACAAAGTGTTTAAAGACTATCTGTTTAAATTACAGATAATCAAATCAAGTCGTTATGCTTGTCTTTCTTGATCCTGATCAATCTGATGCAATTAGATTAGAAGTTGGCACATAAACAGGCAGCAGTTGTGTATTGGCTTGTTTAGTAGGTGATCAAATCTACAGAAAATTACTAATCCAATCTAGGAAATCTGAGAGTATTCATACTTTAATGGTGCCACTTAAATAAAAACATTAATCAAAGTTTTTCTGTTTCTTTCTCTTTTCTCAAAGTATTTAAAAGATTTTAAAAGATTTTAAAATCTTTTTACAGATTCACAACAGAGAGATTTAATGATGACAACATCATGGAGCGATCGACTTCAGGACTATGCAGATCTCCCAGCAAACATGGATGGCCTGGCGATGAAGAAATACAGGAGAGAGGCCTATCATAGGTACAGAATAAACTGACTGTATAACCACTGTGTTTGGGTGGCTTGGAAAAACAGATTTGTCAGTTAGAATTCAGAGACATCATCTCCTCAAAAGGAAATTGTATTTTCCTTTCTATTTAGATAAAGTGTCATTTGTTTGCAATCCACTCATTTTAGAAGAGCCTGTTGAGTATGAGTTTATAATAGTTTTCACTGAGCATTCCATACTCCGTGATTTTACATCTTACGAGTCACGTAAATAATTTAAGCAACTATGTCAAGAAAAGATCCTGTTATTTAGACAGTCAGCTCCTCTGGTAAATTGGGATTTTAAATTAAAATAAAGAATGGAGTTACCTAATTTTAAGCAAAACCCTGCAGCGATGTTTCAAACTACATCGAGAAAACGGGCACATGGAACACGTAAGACTAGGGAATATAGAGGAGCTTGTGCAACCCCACAAGTATGGAATTTGCCATGCAGTGGCATTATGCAATCTTCAGTAGATAAGAGGTATGCCATTCGGTTCCTCTTAAAAATCTGCCCCTTTAGCACACACCGTCACTTGTGGCATTAATCCAACCAAAGTTCACGTCTGAAATAGAGCGTAGTTTACTCTTCCTACTGTGCGTGAACTTTGACTTTACATTTCTCCATGCTGAAGCCAAAAGTTCACTGCCTTGTTCCATTAGCCAGATAAGGGGGTTTAGATAAGGAAAAGTAAATGTGAGCATCATGGCAGGGATTCCACTCTCTGTACAGTCTATCTGAGGTCCAAAGGCAGTGCTGTTATCTGGCGTGTGAGATGTGCAGTGAAACATTTGTTAACTCTGTGGAACATAGTGGTGAAGCTGTAAAACACAGAAAAAAAAGAATATGGTCCCGATGACACAAAATCTGTGACCCGAAAAAAAATAGTTTCTTTTAAGTAAGTCTGTTTACGTGGCGTCCATCGTAGTAACACCCCCACCCAGGCTGTTTATGTATGTTGGTAAAAAGCAAGAGACTGAAAACTACCACTCTGATGATCAAGAACTGAGGTGGAATTCATCCAACTTGCCAATACCTTCGATATCTTTTATCAGGATGTCCTAATGTATATTAATGGCACAAAGTCTGTGACCCTTATTGCTGTAGAGAACAATCAAAATCCTTTTTTATGTGGCAGTCATCTTGGTATGCAAGGCTACAAGGGACTGAAAACTTCCAATCTGTTTATCAAGATGGCATTTCAACTAGTGATATACAATTTCAGCAACCAAAAATAATCAGCCAAAAAAAAAAGAAAGACAAGATTCGTCCAAAATAGTTTTGGAGGGTGATCATTGACTAAAAGGATGCTAAAACAGCAATATGTTAAGTTTATTTCGCAGAAATATCAAGAGACAACTCGTTGTTGAACTTAATTTAGTTTATCACCTGAAAACATCACACCCAATACAGCATACCAAGTTCAATTACCCAATTAACCAAATTTGGTTTTGTTTGTTGACTTAGTTTTGATTTCATTGTTTTGGTTAAAAATTCATTTTGATAAGTCCCTATTTTCAACACAACAAATATTACTTAATCATATATACATGCGTTTTTCTAATGCCGAGTTCACACTGCACGATTTTAGCCCGATTTTTAACTCGCCAACAGGTTTTGCAAAATCGCCGACAAATGCCCGACATCGGAGGCAAATCGGTGCTCGTGCACGCGAGTGACAATCACGCAGTGTGAATTATCAAAGACGCGATCTGAGGGAATTGCCGACGCCTGCGAAATATTTGGCATGCTAAATATCTGGAGCTGTCGCCAATTCACAATCACGCTGTGTGCAATGAGTTCTGACTGAAAACTACATCGGCGATGACCTACAGCCAATTAGAGACCAAGATACAGGGCAGCGGGAAGTTCGGGAGGAGTTATAGACCAGAATATCAGTATTTTAATAGATATATGAACAATTATATCATACAGAAACAAGCACAAACATTCCTGCATAATCTGTTTTTCTTTTTCTCCTTGTAGCTGGAAATCAGCTCACAGACAATTTGCGGGCTATATATATATATATATATATATATTTAAAATAATTACAGTCTTGTTCGTGAGAACTCCGGTCTGATGCACGTGGGTTCTCGCGTTATTTCCTTATCACTTCTCGCCTGTGTTTTGTTGTGAAACGTAGTTTGCGGACCAGACAGAGCTGTCGGAGATTCTTCCTGACAGTGAAGTCATGCAGTGTGAAACCCCCTGTCGCCGATCCATCGTGCAATGTGAACACAGCAGCAACTGACTGCTACCCCAGATAGTCACGCAGAGTGAAAACAACGGTGATCCGACGAGTTTGAAAATCGTGCAGTGTGAACTCGGCATAAGTAAACAAACTCAAACTCATGCGTGTTTCTAATACCGAGTTCCATGTTTGTGCTTGTTTCTGTATGATATAATTGTTCATATATCTATTAAAATACTGATATTCTGGTCTATAACTCCTCCCGAACTTCCCTCTGCCCTGTATCTTGGTCTCTCATTGGCTGTAGGTCATCGCCGATGTAGTTTTCAGTCAGAACTCATTGCACACAGCGTGATTGTGAATCGGCGACAGCTCCAGATATTTAGCATGCCAAATATTTTGCGGGCTTCGGCGACGTGTCGGCGATTCCCTCAGATCGCGTCTTTGATAATTCACACTGCGTGATTGTCACTTGCGTGCACAAGCACCGATTTGCCTCCGATGTCGGGCATTTGTCGGCGAGTGAAAAATCGTGCTAAAATCGTGCAGTGTGAACTCGGCATTATAAGTAAACAAAGAGGCAATTGGCTCTTTTAGCTGAAAGGCGGGACTTCCCATTTCTACAGTCACCATGTTTCTTCCATTCAGTTTTATATGAGAGGTTTGTCTCCTCCCCTTTATAGTGTATCTGGTACAGTATAAGTAGCCTATTACAGAATAGGGCAACAATGAGGATCCATTGGAAATACAAGAGTCATCTGTTTACCAGCTGTCTCTAACTAGTGATGCACACTCTGTTGTCTGAGCCGCTGCACCCGCCTGGTTCTTCCTGCTGTTGTTGATTGTTCTAGATGTCTTTGAAGGGAAGCAAACCACTCCTAACTCAACAACTGGCACAACAACAGAGAATGCTATAGAACTGGCACAATCATTTTTGCAACAAGTCAGAAATTCAATGACAAGAAAGTAGAGAGAGGGGGCTATTGTTTGCTGTGGGGGTAACAGGGTGAACAGAGAAATGGGCTTGACAGACCAGCTAGAGCAGTGACATCCACTCAGAATGCAGTGTGCAGGTCCTACCTGGAAAAGTGAATCATGGGATGTAGTCCAGTGTTATGCCACCACAAGGTAGGGTTGATCAAAGTAACTTTGTTTTGGTAGTAATGATTTTCTTTTTAAAGTTGTGTCAATGTTTATAGGGTTACAAAAGCGTTTAATACTGGTCTGACGTCTCTGATGATCATTTCCACTTTTTCTCTTTGTTTTTTGTAATAAAAATATACTACTTTACACACTGTATATTCAGCTGCTGTTTAAAAGTTTAAAAATGCTATTTTATGTTGTTGAAATTGTTTCTGGCTGCAATATAAACTTTGAATCTCTTGTAAAACTATGGATACAATAGAAGTGCAAATATCTGTCAGTTATTGTTTGTGGTTTATCTGTGTCAGTATCAGATTATATGCATACACAGAGAGTGATTCAGAATTTCCTTTGTGTTCATATCCTGGCATTAAATATCATGGCTTATGGACTAAAGCATAGAGCTGTCAGTGTTCAAAATAAATTCAGATCACTCTTAGCATGTTGGCCCAGGGATGGGAGTTTATTTATTGCTGGGAATGCCATAGTGTAGTAGTTTATTTTATTTTATTTTGTTCTCTAAAAGCGAGCCATTTTATTTTATTTCTCAAAATTGCGAATTGCAAACTATTGCCACCAAACACACCTCTGACTGTTTCACCTTCTTCCCCAGAGTGTTTGTGAACAGAAGTCTGGCCATGGAAAAGATTAAATGCTTCGGCTTTGACATGGACTACACTTTAGCGGGTAAGGTGTTTCCTACTTCCTTTGATGACTATGCTTAAATGTTCAAAGTCCAAATCCCCCTTTACTTCTACAACCCTAGGAATGTGCCAATTTCTAAAAGAAATCTCATAATATTTGTCCTTATGTTTGGGTGTCTCTTGGAGCCAGTAACACTCTTGCTTAGAATCTCAGGGTAAACATACAGTAGGATTCATAAGTATATTTA